GTGCTGGGGATGGAGCCAGGGCCAACAGTCACATGCCAGGTAAGCTCCTGACCCCCAGGGTCAACCTGCCCCAGGACCTGTGGGTGAATTTTCTTCCTGGAAGTGCCCTCCTCTCAGTCTCAGCATCCCTCACCCCCACCCTCGCCGGCCTCAGCCCGCAGAGGAAGAGCCTGAGACCGGAGAGAGGAGGTGGCTTGCCTGCTGTTCACACCCCAGAGGGTCTCCTCAAAGAAGGACGAGGGTGCCCCTTGAAGGCAGTCTGGTCACTCCCTGGAAGCTGACCTCCTGGAAACTGACCCTTACTCCTCCCGCCCGTGTGGCTGTGCCTCCTGCGGCTCCCAGGGGCTCAGCTGCGGGGTGTGCTCACCCAGAGCGCAGTGGGCGAGCAGGGCACTTCCCCTAAGCCTGGGGTCACCGCAGCTCCAGGTCTGGGGGGGAAGGGAGGGGCAGGGAGAGCGTGGGGCGCTGGGCAGGGCAGCTCCTTGGGGTGCGACCACCCAGCGCACAGGGACCCCAGGGCTGCTGTCCTCGGGGTGCCCTCTGCTTCCTGCCAGGCCTCCCTCTCCCGAGGACTCCCGCACCTTTGTGCGGCGGCCTGGGGGCACCTTGACAGAGGTTCCTCCCTGGAGCCTGGCACGTCCTGCACCCACGGGGCAGACTGGGAGCTCAGCAGCACGCAGGGCTGAGTGTGAGCCCCGAGCTTGGCATCCACGAAGGGTGGCACCAGGGTTGCAGGCGGACCTGACTCCAGGCGCATGTGTACCCGTGCGTGTGCCCGTGGGGGTTAAGCTAGGGGTCTCTGAGGGATGCAGGAGAAGAAAATGAAACAGCCAACTTAATTTGAGGCTTGCAAGGGGGAGCAGGAGTCGTGCCTTTCTCTTTTCTTTTCTTTTCTTTCTTTCTTTTTTTTTAACATAAAAGCAAATTTAATCTTATTTAAGAAATGAAATATTCCGGTGTAATATTCCGTCATTCTACTAAGTTAAATTCAACCTCCATCACCCGCTTCTGGTATGTGTGGGGTGAGAAGGAACACGGCAAGGCTGGCCCTCAGGGGCGCTGAGGCTGGGGGTGGTGGTCAAGGATCTGGGGGGAGGGGGCAGCTGTTGGGAAAAGAGAGCCCCCCATCCCCAACACCATGTCTGCTCTGCCTGGGGTCTTTCTTCTTTTTCTGTTTTTATTTATTTATTTGCACAGGGCTTACTCCTGACTCTGCACTCAGATATCACTCCTGGTGGTGCTTGGGCGACCATATGGGATGCTGGGAATCGAACCCCGGTGGGATGCTGGGAATCGAACCCTGGTCAGCCTCATGCAAGGCAAACGCCCTACCTGCTGTGCTATCGCTCCAGCCCTTGCCTGCGGTCTTTTACGTTCTCCAGCATCTAGTGAGAGACTCCCGCTAGGACCCCGTGTTGCAGAAGGACAGACAGAGCCTCAGAGCCTGCGGCCACCAGGGCTGGAGATAGAGCAGGAACCAGGCCCACCTCTACGGCGTTTGCTCTCTGGGCCGAGAAACTGTGGGGTAGGGAGGGGGCCCCTGACCGAGGAGAACATTCCAGATTTGGGTGACTGGAGAAGACAGCAGAACGGGGAGGGGAGCGGGGCTGAGAAGGGATAGCACCATGCTGTCACCCTGCTTATTGGGGTCCCGCACCCCACAGGTCCTCTGCTCAGACTCAGCGGCCCATGGTTCTTTTTCTTTTTTAATTTGGGTGAGGGTTACTCCTGGCAGTGCTTGGGGGACCATATGGGATGCTTGGGGATCGAACCTGGGTCGGCCGTGTGCAAGGCAAACACCCTACCCGCTGAGCTATTGCTCCAGCCCCAACGGCTCTCAGTTCTGCAGTTGCACGTCCCCCTGCAGCCCCGGTGGGTCCTCTCTGCCCAGAGAGGCAGGGCTGCACGAACGCCCAGACCCCGGCTGCCCACCCAGGCCATGTCCTTTGGGTGACAACTGTCCCCGTCTGATCCCTCCTCTGCCCTGCTGCCTCCCTCCTTCCCCAGACAGATTCTCACTTCGCTGCTTCCTTGTCCATCCTGATCCCGTTCCCCTGGCCCAGGGTCACCCCCCGCCCCCATCCTCCGTCTCCAGACGCTCTCCACCCCAATTTCCAGGCCCTGGGGATCTGCACCCACAGCCATCTGCCTCAGAGCAGCGCCCCTCTGCTCTCCAGAAAGAGGCGCCTCACTGAGGGGCGTGGGGTCCCTTCTGGGACTCGGGGACACCTCCATTCCCGGTTGGAGGGTAGGGTCCAGACTCCGGAGGGTCTGCCTAAGTGGTGGTGGTGATGACGTCACGAATGCAGCCCCACTCCGCTTACCCACAGGGACATGGTCTGGGAAATGCACAGATGGGAGGTTTCACCACCCAGTGACGTCGCTGAGCCGGGGCTGACGCCAGCCCAGAAGAACCAGTCGTGGCTTTCCCTGCTGCCCCGTGCAGCTGGCAGAGGTCACCTCGGACATCGAGTCCAAGGCTTTGCTGAGGAAGGACACAAACCTCCTTGCTCCACGCTGGACTCTGCGGCCTGCCTGGTGGGACCTTAGTGTCTGAAAGCCCCTCTAGTCGCGGGGGGCGGTGGGAGCCTCCCAAACAAGCCTCACGCACTGGGTCCAACCAGCTGCACCACATCACTGCAAGATCACTGGCATTGACTGTCCGTGAGGCCACAGATGAACAGTGACTTGTCCAGGGACGCCCGGCAAACTCGTCAGAGCGGGGCTGGACTCTGACCCTTCTGCCCTACCCGGGTCGCTCCTAACCTGCAGAGGATGGAAGAGGGGACCCAGCACCCCACATTCTCTCCTAGGGGTCACTGACAAGGCACGGGGCTCCCACCATGGCAAGGAAGAGGGAGGCAGGCTCTCTTTGAGCCCCAAACTTCTGCCTCCTGCATACCTCCTCCAGGAAGCCTGAAGATAAGATGAGGAAACTGAAGATAAGATAAGATAAGATAAGATAAGAGGGTCCTGGACCCTCTTATCTCCCTTTTCTTTCCTTTAATTTTTTGGGGGGCTCTCCCAAGCAGAGCTGAGAAGACCTGGGGCCCTTCCCGGGGGTTGTCTCATCTGGGCTGGGTTTTCAAAGTGAAGGCCTAGGGATATGACACTGCATGGATCACCTGGGCCACTCCACGGTGCTGGGGCCCTGGGCCTCACCTGGTGAGGCTCAGGGGTCCGTGCAGTGCCAGGGACTGAGCCAGGGCCAGCCACAGGCATGAACCTTCCCCACTGTGTTAACTCTCTGTACCCTGCACCCCTTTCCACAGCTAGGAAAACCAAACATCAGACAGGAGAACATCCGCGGGCCGCCGGGCCCACCCCAGCCTCTGAGACCACGAGACCACATGGTCCACGCCGCAGACCCCCGGGGCCTGGGACTCCAGCTTTCAGCACTGACTCTACTCCAACTCCTCCCATACCTCAGCTCTCTCAGTCATCACGCAAATGAGGTCACCCCGGTCCCATGTCTCACAGAGAGGAGGGGGGGCTGGCTTACCACACTGAGGCCTGATGGGTCCAGGGGGCGGCGATGGACCTGCCGGACATACCCACCCAGGGCGTCCCACCATAACCTCTACCCTGCACTGATGCCCTGAAGTCAAACTTACGCCCCCGCCCCACTGCCAAGGCTCCATGCCACATTCCCTCTCAGGGACTAGCCAGGGCGGAGAAGACCCCCAGAGCGGGTGCAGAGGCTGGTGGCTCTATCACCTGCAGGGGAGGCCTGCTGTTATGATGGTTTTTTTGTTTTTATTTTTATTTGGGGGCCACACCCCACAGAACTTACTCCCAGCTCTGCATCCAAGGTTCAGGACCACATGTCGGTGCCAGGGATCAAGCCCGATCAGCCGCGAGCACGGCAAGCCCCCTCCCCGTGGAATGTCTCTCCAGCCCCGTGATCTGCCGTTATGTAGATATTATGACATGAAACCATTATCACCCCCTGGTTACCAGCCCGACCCTGTTCTATATCAGTATTTCCTGATAGTGCCGGTGCCATGCTCAACTTCCCTCTCGACTGCTGTCTCTGCCACGTGTGCCATCTAATGAGATGGCCCCAGAGGCCCTGCAGGGGTGCGGGCCCTTGAACACGACCCTCCCTTTGAGTGTTGGCTGGACCCAGTGGCCCCTTTCTAGTGAACGGACTATGGCCAACGGGGTGGGGGCTTCATGCGCGTATGAGCAGGCTTGGAAGCTGCCCCCTACCGTCAGTGAGCTTCCCACGCTGACGCAGCCATGCCTCCATCCACGCAGGACCCACCCTGACTGTGAGGGGCACAGGCTGATGGCTGGGGTGACAAGCCGCAGACCCTCTGAGACCTCAAGGCCCGCCTGGGGAGACCGACTGGCCTCCCCGAAAAGACAGGAGACTAGCGGCGCCAAGGCCTGAGCCCAACTCAGGCCAGGAAGGTCTTGCGGGCTGACATAGAGAAGCGGGAAGGGGCCTCGGCAGGCTGCGAGAGCCACCAGGTCCCCAGGCAGGGGAGGGGCCTGGCTCCAGCGCCAAGAGGAAGTGGACAGGGACAGAGTCCTGGCGACAAGGCAGGCAGAGAGAAGGCAAGGGCACCAGCTCCCCATTAGAGGGCCTTGGCTTCATCTACCTGGGCTGGCGGGAGGGGAGGGGAGTGCGAGGCAGGATGATGGTCACTCTGCCTGATGGGCAGGGAATGGTGGAGGCTGGAGGGAAAGAGAGACCTGGGAGATGAAGGTGACAGGGGTGGGGGTGAGGAGTTAGGAAAGAAGCGGGCGCACAGAGAGGCCCGGGCAGGCAGCGCTGCGGGAGCGAGGAAGATGCAGGACGCGTTGGCCGGGTTGACTTTGCGGCGTGGCCACAAGGGACCTGGGCTGGCAGGGGCCCGGGAAGTGGGTCCAACCAGCCAGGCCAGGAGGGAACAGCCAAGGGGGCTGGGGAGGAGAGGCACCCAGGACAGGTATCGGAGGATTTGGGGCGTCTGAGCCGCGCCACGCAGGATTTCCCAGCTGGGGTCACGCACCTGTCGTCCGTAGCCCAGCGCCTTGTCGTACAGCGCGATGCCAGCCTCCAGCACCTGCGCACGGTCCTCCGGGCGGGCGCAGCCCACGTCGAAGCCGTGCGCGTAGCCCTGCTCGGCCAGGCAGCGTGCGGCGCGGAGCTGGGGGTCCCCGGGGGTGCCCGGCGCCTCGGCGTCCGCTTCCAGGTCCATGAGGCCGGCCAGCCGCCCGGCGCACGCCTCCTCCTGGTCCTCCTGCCCCAGCCGCCCGTGCACGTGCGCCAGATTGGCCCAGGCGTTGAGGTTGTCGGGGTGCTCCCGGGCCACCTCGAGGAAGCGCTCGCGGGCCTCGTCCAGCTCCTCCAGGTGGAAGGCCACGGCGCCCAGGAGGTGGCGCACGGCTGGACGCTGCGGGGCCGCGGCCAGCTCCAGCTCCCGGCGCAGGCTGTCCTGCTGCAGCCGCAGGTCCCGGGCGCGCGCGCGCAGCGAGGCGGGCGAGCTCGGCTCGAAGTTGAGCTGCAGCTCCAGGTGGAAGTGGCCCGGCAGGTAGTCCAGGTCGTCGAGGAGGGCGTCCAGGTCGTCGGCCGGGGCCTCCGGCTCCGCCATGGCCACCCCGGGGCCTCGCCCTGGCCGGGTGCAAGGGGAGCGCGCCCCGAGCGCGGACGGCGCGGGGCACCTCGGGCCGGAGGGTGGGTCCGGGGCCGCCCGAGCGCCCGCCCCGTGGGTGTTTCCGCTTTCGCTGCTCCGCGGCTCTTAGGTCCTGCACAACCAGGCGTGCCAGAAAAACAGGTGCGTTGCCAAACGAGGGGCGCGCGTGGTGGGAGCTTTTGCTCCGGAGACGGAGCAGTGAAGGCGCGAAGGCGCAAAGGGACGCGCTCCGGGCGGGCGCAGAGGCTGACCTAGCGTGCCAACCCCGCCGGGCCCTGCCTTCGTGGGTGCGGGGGCCGGAGGAGACGTAAGGGGAGCCCTAGTACTTGCCCGGCACCAGCCAGGCCACCCCATTCCTGCTGGGCTGGGTGGCGTGACCGAGTCCCTCCTTGCCCTGCCACTTTTTCTGCTTGGGGGTGGGGGGTCACTCAGGGATGCTCAGGGTTTACTCCTGGCTCTGCGCCCAGGGATCCCTCCTAGCGGGGCTGGTTGCGGGGGGCTCAGATGGGGTGCCAGGGATGGGGCCGGTGCCAGGCAGAGGCTGAGTACTCTCTTCAGTCCCAGTTCCAGCTCTTCCCACCGCACTTGCCAGCCTCCAGGGTGCCCGGCGGAGCTGCAAGTGAGGCTCCGGACTCCCCTTCTTGGCGCTAATAATGTATGACCAAGCAGTTTCATAAAGCCAGACTTTCTTCTGTGGCATGAAGTTGACAAGCCTCCTCCCGGTCGGGTGGAGGGTGCGTGAACCTTGTCGTGATCAGGAGGACTCGCAGCTCCCGCCCTGCCCCTTGGTTCCCAGCCCACCCTGCACTCTGCACCGCGCCTTCCCCGACGCAGCCCTCTGGCTCTGGCTCTGGCCAGCTTCCGGCAGCATAGGCAGCTGGGCCCTTGCGCTAGAAAGCTGGGCTGTGGTCCAGGCTACACGGGCCTGGACCTGCCTACGTTGGCAGGCACCGGGTGTCTGAGTGCGATTTCCTCCACCCCACAGTCCTCCTGGGCTGCGTGCCCCAGCCGCACCCTGGTGCTTTCTCTCCTTGAAAGATAGGCCAGCAGTGACCGAACAAGAAAAGAGCCAGTTGTACATTTGAAGAAAACATTTGACTTGAACAAAAGGGGGGGGGGGGGCCGGTAAATACAAACCACATTCTGGTGCTCCTTTTCTCCTGTCCTTTAAAAATAGAAAATGTGAAGAGAGAGCTGGTAATGGTGTTTGTCTTTGCACGCTGTATGTAGACCCAGGGATCAAACCGTGATGTTGTATATGATCCTGAGTTTGGACAAGAATGAGCCCTGAGTACAGCTGGGGATGGGGGTGGGGGCAAACAAACAACAAAAAGAACTAGGAGAAAAATAAAAAATATATCTTTTTGTCACATCCAACAGTGCTCAGGGCTTACTCCTGGCTCTGCTCTCAGTGATCACTCCTGGCTGGCTCTGGGGACCATGTGGAGTGCCGGGGAACAAGTTCAAGTTGGACATGTGTAAGGCAAGCACCCTACCCACTGTCCTATTGATCTAACCCCTGAAAATGTAATCATTTTTTTTGGGGGGGGTCATACCTGGTGCTGCACAGGAGTTACTCCTGGCTCTGCACCCAGGCATTACTCCTGGCAGTGCTCGAGGGACCACATGGGATGCTGGGAATCAAACCCGGGTCGGCTGCATGCAAGACTAATGCCCTACCCGCTATGCTATTGCTCCAGCCCCCCAAATGTAATCATTTTTAATAAATATTATTATTATGAATTCCTGGTGATCAAGAAATAAAGTCTGGGCTCATATCTGCTGTGAGAGCCAGAATGGATTCCCAAGTCTTTGGCTTTTGTCCCCCTTTTTATTATTGTATCAGCTATTTAGCATAAAAATGTAGTGTTTCGACTAGTTGTTTTCTTTGGTTTTGGGCCACATCCGGTGATGCTCAGGGGTAACTCCTATCTCTGCACTCAGGAATCACTCCTGGCAGTGCTCAGGTACCATACGGGATGCTGGGGATGGAACCTACATCGGCTGTATGCAAGGCAAGCACCCTACCCACTGTACTATCTCTCCAGCCCCGCTCGACCCTTTTTAATTGTACAGTTCAAAGAACGAACCACTCTAGGTGCCGTTCAAGCCTGAGCCACACCCTACTCCAGGCCTTTCTCATCTTCCCCAAACTCTACCCATGAACGGGCCATTTCCCTTGGCAACTGTCTTTCTACCTGATGAATGTGACTACTCTTGAATTTGGCTACTTTAGGTTCTTCAAATGCTTGAACTAGCACAATACTTGTCCTTTTATGGCTCATTTCATTTAGCATTACATTGTCAAGGATCACCCACGTTAGAGCACGGGTCAGGATTCCCATCTGTTTATTTATTTTTACTTTTCGGGTCACACCCGGGGATGCACAGGGGTTACTCCTGGCTCATGCACTCAGGAATTACTCCTGGAGGTGCTCGGGGGACCATATGGGATGCTGGGAATCGAACCCGGGTCAGTGGTGTGCCAGGCAAACGCCCTCCCCGCCGTGCTATTGCTCCAGCCCCTCCCATCTATTTTAAAGCTGAGTAGTGGTTTTGTTGTATGTGACACAGTTTGTCTATTCATCTTACAATAGGTATCGGGGCTGTATTTTGCCTCTTGGCGGGGGAGGGGGGGCGGACACGGAGGCACTCTTCCTTGAGAAGCCCAGTGCTCAGGGGTCACCAGATCTATGCCTGGCAGTGCAGGGAGCAGGCCTTGTGGTGCAAGGGGTCGAACCCGGAATTTCACACACGCGAGGTCTGTGCTCTGCCACCGAGCCGCGGCTTCATTCTCTGTCCACATTTTGCAGCTGTCGCTCTTGCTGCTGTGCGTGTGGCTTGCAGATCTCCGTGTGAGCCTGGCTTTCAATCCCTGTAGGGACATATCCTACGCTGATTTTGTGCTGGATTTCAGGAAGAACCACTGTACTGATTTCCCAGAAGCCACACCTTCCCTATTCCAACCAGCGATGCCCAAAGGTTCCAGTTTCTCCATATCCTGGCTAACACTGGCTATTTCCTCTTCCTTGTAAAATAATGGCCATCATGCTGGGTGAGCGTGACTTTTAGACTCTGAAGAGAAGAGGAGGTGATGGGGGGTGGGGTGCCGTGGGCTCATCTCTGCTGCAGGGAAACTTTTTGAGGAGTCCGGAGGCGCACTTGTGTTGGTGTGCATGTCCGAGGGACTTAAGCAGTCTTGGCTGATGGGGGTCAGCTGAGTTTCGGCCATAGCCCCCTCCCCCCTATAAGGGCCGGAATCCTGGCCCAGAAGCTTGACTCGACTCTGCACAGCTACGAGATGATTCCAGAGCCGTGGTGGGTGCACAGCCTGGCCTCTGAGGGCGAGTGCCAGCCTAGCAGGAGCCCTGCTGCTCTGCGTGACCCCACACCCTGCTCTGTGACCGCCAAGGCACCTCCCCGCCCCCTTCAGAGCCTTTGCTTCCTCTTCTGATTAATGGGGGTGCCAGGGAGGGCAGGAGTCGCCCTGCACTGGTGGCTGGGTGGGGTAGCTGTCCTGGGCCGGTGCCAGCATCGGTGCTGCACGGCCGACTCGTCTGGCCTGCTCTGCCCTGCCCTGCGGCCAGGACACCCCCAGTGGACTTTGGCCCAGAACCCGCACTTCCTACTGACATGGCAGAGGGGTAGGGGGCGTCGGACTGCAAGGAAGCCCACCTTGCTCCTGATCCTCCACAGGCTGGAAGCAAGACTCCTGCGTCCTGTGTCCTTGGCATCGTGGGAGGGGCGTGCTCTCTGTGTCGCCTTCCTCCTGAGGCCTCACCCACAGCAGGACCTTGGAGTCCTGGAGGGGCAGAATTAGGGAGGAGGAGGAAAGCGAGCTGGCAGAGCTTGGTTGGGCCACATACTCTCAACGCCTTTCTTTACTGAGCCCGGTACACACACACACACACACACACACACACACACACGCACACTTCGGGGTGGAGTCTGACGCTCTGGTCCAGCCTGTGGGCCAGTAGGTCAAGGAAGGCTTCCTGGAGGAGGAGCTTCCTTAACTCCACACTGAAGTGTGTAGCCTGCTGTGAGCTGGCCTAGCCACCCCATGTGGCGCGCGCGCGCACACACACACACACACACACACACACACACACACACACACACACACACCACACATCCCTTCTCCATCCCTCCCCGCAGCAAGGAGAAGAAGGCTCGTCCTGGTCCTGTGGGCCTGGGCGATCGCAGGGGGCCGGCCGGGTCCCGCGTAGGGCGCGGGGCAGAGGCGAGAACCCGGGACCGGGTCCCCCGCCCGGCGGGGCCGCCTTCCCCTACAGGCGCCCGCGGAGCGCGCAGGGCGCGGGGCCCGACGCACACGCCCCGGCGAATCACAAGGCCCCGGTTGCCGTGGCAGCGGGGCCCCGCCTGGCAGGCGGGCAGGCAGGCTGGCGGCGCGGAGGAGGAGTCCTCTAGTATGTGTTCCGTACGACCTGACCGCCGGGGCACACCGGTCGGCCAGTTGGCCACCAAGCGTTTTACCGGGGCACCCTTCGGGGTGCAGAGCCACAGGTGGGATGGGGACACGGTCGGGACCCTGGGCTTTCTCCGTGTCAGACACCTTCAACCTGGGCTAGGGGCCAGGAGGGAGGGTCCCTGATGCGTGCGGGCTGGAAGGAGGCAAGGGCATCCCCTCCAGTCCTGGAAGCCCGCCCAAGAGCAGCGCCCGGGGTGTAGAGCCCGCGCAAGTACACCCAGCTGGAGTGCGTGGGACTCAGCCCACCAGAGAATATCAGACGTGGGATGCCTGGGAGGGGTCCCGGCCCCTAGCAGGGGTCTGCATCTGTGAGCACCTCACTCAGATGACACATGCCACCTAGTAGGACATGCACCTATCCGAGGGATCTAGCTGGGTGTCAGGAACGCCCTGTTATGGTGTTGTGTGTGTGTGTGTGTGTGTGTGTGTGTGTGTGCGTACACGTGTGTGTGTGTGTGTGTGGTGGGTGTTGTGGATGATAAATGGGAATGACAAATGCTTAGTGCTAAGGGCGGTGGGTGGGGAGAGGAAGCAGGGGAGCAGCCGCCACTGCTGGAGGGTGGGGTGGGGAGCCCGAGAGCAGAGCCCCAGCTGGGGGGAGGGCGGATGAGAGTGGGGGAGGGGGCTTGCTTGCCCTCCCTCCTGTGGGCATGGGGGAGGGGTGGGCCCAGTCCGGCTCTCAGCAGGCCTCGGTCCTTACAGGTTTGATGTATCTGCGGTTCACCCCAACTACAAGCGGCTCGGCTGCTTCACAGAGGCGCCGTACTCCCTGCGGCACACGAAGGCCATGGTGAGTGTGCCCGACCCCTCTGAACCCTCCATTATTGGTGCTCACCTCACCCCGGGGCCTGAGCTTCAGTCCCACTGGCCCAGACTCAGGGAAGGAGGGGGGGTGGCGCTGAAGTCAGCCTCAGTGGGGCTCGGAGACTGAGACCCCCCACCCCGCCCACTCTCGCCCTCCCTGGCTCTGGGATCCCGACGGCCACTGAGGGACATGGCAGGGGTGGGTGGGGTGGTACTGGGGGCCTTGCTGGGGTGCCAGGCTGGCTCTGAAGCCGCCCGAACAGTCCCACCTAGGTCCCGGCAACTACGATGGCCAGGAGACCTGCTTCAGCAAGAACAAGCTGACCCGGGAGCAGGGCACGGGCTGGGCCAAGGCGCAGGAGGCCACCCGGCTCACGAAGCTGCCCCACTTCCAGTACCAAGTGACCATGAAGGAGAAGCAGTGGCAGGTGAGACCGCCTGTTTGCCCGCCCCCACTGTCCACTCCCTGCTCCCCGCGGCCCCCGCTGCCTCCCAGGCCCCCCTGCTGTTCCCTGCTGCTCCCCAAACCTCGCTGGCCTCAGCGTCCTCCCAGACCCTGGCAGACCCAGGCTTCGAGCAGGCCATCTCACTCCACGACTTTTTTTTATGTAGGAGTATTGCTGTTTATTCAGCCATTGATGAGGCTGATTGAATTGGGCATGAACTCCACCTTACTGTTTTTTTCCCCTTTTTTATAAATTTATTTATTGAATCACCGTGAGAGCAGTTACAAAACTTTCGGGTTTAAGTCTCGGTCATACAGTGATGAAACACCTGTCCCTTCACCAGTGCCCATTCTCCATCACCAAAAGCCCCAGTATACCCCCATCCCACACCCTCCCCCTACCTGTGGGGCAGATGATTTCCATGTTACTCTCTCTCTACTTTGATTTCATTCAATATTTTGACACCAGACCCACCATTATTTGAGATTTTACCCCAAAACTCAGATCTGCCGAAAAGGCAATAGTAGACAATTTGTTTTCTATTGCTGGTTATTGGCAGAGCCTGGCAAGCTCCCCGTGATGTACTCAATATGCCAAATACAGTAACAACAAGTCTCATGATGGAGACGTTACTGGGCCCGCTTGAGCAAATCAATGAACAATGGGAGGACCATGATACCATGATACCGATTGCTGGTTATGAATAACATATGATGTCATGTGGCTGCAGTAGTGGCCACGCGATTTTGAAATTCCGAAATTTGAATAATGAAATCTGGAGTGATTTCTGCCCAAACCTGCTGGGTTCCGAGATTTGTTTCTGAGTCTCTGGGATCATGGCCATTAAGCAGCTTGATCAGGAGCCAGAGAGGCTGTTTATGGGCTCAGGGTCTTGTTGGGGCGGGGAGGAAAGGGCCGGTTCCACCCCAATCCCGTGAGGCCCCGCCATGTCTCATCACTGCGGGCCCAAACCTGACTGTCCAATGGTTTCTGGGAGATGGCGGCCACCGAGCCACCAAGGGGGAGCAGGCAGAGGAACAGCACCCTTTCCCCCCTGGGGTGGCCTGGTGACGGTAACCTACTGTGGGGACCAGACGCATTTCTGCCAAAAGCCACTGGGTTCCTAGATTTGTTTCTGAGTCTCTGGGATCATGTCCATTAAGCAGTTCAATCAGGAACCAAAGAGGCCTTGCCTCCAATTATATAGCTGAGCCAGAGGTGGTTTGTGGGTGTGTCTCCCACATACCTAACTTTTGGCCATTTACTTTCTTGGTAAACTTGGCCCCAAGTTGTTGGGGTCTGGCCAAAGGCACAGCAGCAATTTTGGGGTATTTGGAAGTCTGAAGGCGCCATGAGGCTGCTGGTGCACTCGCCTCACAGGTACAGATTGACCTGCTGGCGGCACCATACCCCAGACTCCCCCGCTCTTTTCCTAGGCTGGGGGTGGCGGACACGGCCTGGTTGCCCCCCTCAGCTTTCTTCTCTGGGACAGAAAGAAAAACTGGGGCCTGGCTCCTATAACTTCAAAGACTTCATCCAAGAGCTGCAGGAGCGACCCGGCAGTTCGCGGGGGCTGCTTAGCTCTGGGGAGAAGCGATTTCGAGGAATCATTGGGGTAAGTGCTCCCTAAATGGTGTGGGTGCTCCCTAATTAGGGTTGGTGTTCCTTAATCGGGGTTAATGCTCCCTAAATTGGGTAGGTGCTCCCTAATTAGGGTGGGTGCTCCCTAAACCGGGTGGGAGCTCCCTGAATGGGGTAGGTGCTCCCTAAAGGGGGTGAGTGCTCCCTAAATAGGGTAGGTGCTCCCTAAATGGGGTGGGTGCTCCCCGAACGGGGTGGGTGCTCCCTAAATAGGGTGGGTGCCCACCCTGGAGGGGCCGGAAGCACCCCTCCTCTTGCTGGTTCCTTGGCTACTTGGCCCCACTCGCCTCCAGGTCCACCCACCCCCCTCGTCCCCACCTTTCCCTGTCCCTTCTTACTCCCATCTGTCCCCACCCACCCCCACCACCCTGCCCCATCAGACCCTGACTCCCATCGCTGACAGCAGCAGAAGGGTGTCAGGAGTAGAGCCCGGCATATATTAGGTGCTCAGCAAACTCACTGTGATAATTGGCTCCAGCCTCTACTGGCTGACACCACCTAGGTGACGTCACTGGCTTGGCTCAGGAGGTCCAGGTGTCCAGGTGTGATGGAAACAAGGTCTCTGCCCCCAGGGTCCATAGCAGCTGGTGGACAGTCAGGGACACGAGGCAGAGCTGCCAGCCTTGTAGATGCAATCCACAGAGTGGTCAGGGAAGCCCTCTGGGAGGAGGTGATCTTTGCACAGAACCTGCCGGCCATGAGCCTCAGAGAGAGAACCTGGGGGAGAGTGTGCCAGGCAGCCGAAGAGCAGAGACGAAAAGCCCGTGGATGGAGGTGGGGGTGGGGGTTGGGTAGCGCAGCGGGAGGGAGGCCAGAGAGGGAGGGGGTGGTCCCGGGGTGGGGGCAAGGTGGGGCCTCCAGCCTGAGCCCAGCTGCTGTGGGGTGGACGCGGTTTGTGTGGGGAGGAGGGCCCGTCTGTGTGTGGGGGGTGATGGTGTGCGAGGTGGGGGTGCAGGGCAGGGTGGGGAGACCCCGGCTGGGCAGGGTGGTGAGGGCGGGTGGGCGGGCAGGCCCTTCCCCGCTCCGCCCTCTGCTTTGGGCTTCCTCCCCCTGCTTGGCCACCCTGCTCTCTGCTCCTTCCCGGCTGCCCCTGGCATGGGGTGGTCTCTCCCTGAGGTGGCTGACGACCCGCCCGGGGGTGGGCCACACCGCTGGGGTCGCTGGCCGCAGAATCCCAGTCCCGGATCCTGCGGGCAGAGCCAGTGCCTGCACGCCTGGTGGATCTCAGATGATCCAGAACATTCTAGATGTGATGAACAGTCCCGGGGGAGCGTCAGAGGCTGAGAGGGGACATAAGCATCAGAGAGGTCAAAGCCGGGAGGTCCCTGCCCATGCCTCTCCCGCTCCTCACCCGGGGGAATTCTCTGGGAAACCTGGAGAAGTCAGGGCCAGGCTCGGGGGGGGGCAGAGCATGCTGGGGCTCAGGCCAGGAGCTGTCCGGGTGCTGGAGGGAGAGGGACAGCTGGGGCTGGACACACACGGCGGGGCTGGGGGAGGGACGGCTGGGGTGGACACAGGCAGCCCCATCCACGTAGTGCAGGGAGGGTGACCGGCACCCAGCCCGCGTGGGACTCTGCTCGTGGGACACCCTCTCCCCACACTGCAGAAGCAAGTGGTGCTCGGAGAGGTGAAGTCCTCGCCCAGCGTCCCAGAGGCAGGTGCTCATTTGTCCCCAGGCTTGGCTCACCTGGTGCACTCCAGGCTGGTGGTGGGGTGGGGTGCGAGGGGGGTCTAAAGTCAGAGAAGTTGAGGGACAAATCCACAGCCACCGTCTGTCCTGTCCCGGCATCTGAGTGCTGCTGGGCTGGCGGCAGGAGCCTCTCCTTGGCCTCTCCCTGTGGCCGCCCGGCCGCCCTGGACCCCCAGACCTGCACCCTACCCTGTCTGCTCCGGCGTGCCCCGCGCTCCGCCAGCAGGTGGCGCTGCAGGTGTGTGGAGCAGCGGGCCTGTGGTCACTCCTGCGCCTGCCTGTCCCAGTGGGCAGCTTGTGGCCAGCCCAGTACTGTGGCCCAGAGGTCGTTGCCGGTCTCTATCCCGCCAGTCCCTCCAGGTGCCCCAGATATGCACGTCTGGGAAGGCCCAGTGTGTCCGTTCCTGCTGTTCCCGGGGTCCTTCCCCCGCCCCCACCCACTGCCAAAGCTGCAGGAGACTGTCGGGACCCCAGAGAGGGCTGCGGGCTATGGGCTGTGGGCTGGGCCCCTTCCCAGAGACCAGTCTCACCCCTGCTGATTCCTTGTTGCCCCCTGCTGGGGGACTAGGGGACGTGTGTGTGTGTGTGTGTGTGTGTGTGTGTGTGTGTGTGTGCGCTGCACTCCTCCTCGTCCTGTTGACTTTGGGGACCCTGAACTGTGCAGACCCCTGAAGGTCCTGCATGTACTCCCCCCACGCGCGCACACACGTGCCAGCGTCTCCCCCAGGTTCTCTCACTGGGAGGGACAGTCTCCCTGGAGAGCCAGCACCCCCATGCCCTGTTCTCCGCAGCCACTGGGGTCTGTGGGCTCGTCCCCTGCTCTCCCTCGCATCCCACGCCCTGCCCTGACCCGGACCAAAGTCCTCCCCAGTCTCTAGTGGACCCCCTTTCCTGGTCCTCTCCCTGTCCCGGTCGCCTCCCCCTCTTCCCATTGCATTCCGGCTCAGCTCCTCACACCTGCCTTTGGGAGCCTCATTCTTCAAGGTCCAGTCCCCCAGGTCTTGTAAGTGGGGCCAGGACACATCTGGGAGGGCTTGGAGCCCGCACCTGGCCTGTGGGAGGCCTGAGCTGACCAGCGCCAGCGGGTCCCCCAGCACTGCCCACACTGGAACCCTCCGACCCACTTAGCCAGGCCGAGTATCGTCGGAAGGCGCCTCTGACCCCTGGGCAGGGCTTGGTGAGCCTCTAAAAGAAAGTCCAGGCCCTGAGGGTCCCCTCAATCCTGCACATGGTTCCTGCCTGGGTCCTTACAAGCCGGACACGTGGCTGCTCCCCAGACCTCCAGCCTCCAGGCCCCAGCGCAGGGTACCAGTTTGCTGGCGGGAACCGCGGAGGGCAGCGGCTCCAGGCCTGCCCAGCCCGCCTGCAGCGAGTGGGGGCTGACCCCCAGGAGAGGCAGCATGCCTGACCCCCACGCCAGACACCGGGTTCCCCACCCTGGGGCTTTCCCCCGATCTGATCCGGAGGCCTCGGGCCCTGGAACGAGGCGCGTGCCATCCCGTTGCTCTGAGAGGATCATGCGATGCCGGCAGGAGTTGGTGTCCAGCACAGCTACTGCCCCCGCTGCTCCGCCAGGTTCTGGGCTGCCTGCCCGCTGCCCGTCTAGGCACAGAGGTGGGCGGGGCGGAGCCATCGGTGGAGCAGCAGCGACCCCGTGTGGCCAGCAGGTGTACAGCGGTCTCATTCCGGGCACCGTGCGCAGGTGTCCCCTGCTCACTGGGCAGCGGGTTGAAAGCCGGTGCTTCACTTCCTCTCCACCTGGTGACAGCCTGGAGCTGGGACTGGGCCTGGATGGCCTGCTGTGCTCAGGGGCACCCAGGCAGGACACATCCAGGAGATCCCTCCAGCACAGAACACTCAGGACCCCCGTGTGCAAAGGGTGGACCACAGCCCCCACAACACCCCCCCCCCCCCCCCCCCCCCCCCCCCGGTCGGTGAGGGAGTCTCTCAGGTCCCTAGTGACTGCTGGGGAAGGACGAGAGAGACCACCGGGAACTGTCTCTGCAGGGTCAGAAGTTCCTGGAGGAAGTGGATCTCTGAGGGGACAACACATGCCAGCTAGGCAGGTGGTTGGCCAGTGGCCTGGTTTCGGGGAACACAGGCAGCCCCCTGCCCCACCCCCGTTGAAGGATGGGCTGGAGGAGGGGCACAGCAGAAGGCCAGAGGGACAGGTTGCAGGGACTGACCTGGGACGGTGATCTGTGCAAAGGGCCTGGGGCGGGATCTGACTCTCTCAGCTGCTCAGCTCCAGGAGGGGGACTGACGGCCTCTGTGTGCCTTCCCCACCCCCACAGAACTACAACCCCGGTCCTGGCAACTATGGGGTGAGGGGCAACCCCTACACCAGGCTGGAGGAGAGCGCCTGGGCCCGGGCTCACTCTGAGGGCCTCATGTGCAGGATCACCAACAAGCCGCCCCCGCTGGCACACGAGGTACTCCTCGCCCTGGCCGCCCCTGCCCCCCCCATCCCCGTGTCCAGCCCTGGGGGAGGGTCCCCGAGGGAGGATGGGGACGGAGGAGGGCCCTGCAGGGACACTGCTCTGTGCTCCGACCCAGGGGAGCGGGCTGGCGCCTGGCACCTACTCCCTGAAGGCGGGCATCGACACCTACGTGGCACGGTCCATGGGCAAGCGCAACATGTACGACATCTTCTCCGGGGACCGCAGCCAGCCCATGCCCTACGGACACTTCGCCGTGCAGGTGTGGCCTCCCCTGTCGACTCCGGAGGGCCTGGGGTGTCCCTGGCTCTGCCCACAGCCCCCTGCACAGTGAGGTGGGGGAGGGCGGAGAGGGACGAGGCATCCTGTGCGAGGGGGAAACTGAGGCTGACCCCCAGCGACTCGGGGGCAGAGGGGGGCTTTGACACTGCTGCTTGGGTCTGATTTGGTGGCCAGCTCTCGGTGCTGCCCTGGATGCCTGGGTGTACCCCCTGTCCCCAGCTCCGCCACACCTGCTCATTTTGTCCCCTGTCCCCCTCGCTCGGCCTGATCTGCCCCCTCGGGCAGGTACCCGGGGCCTGGTGGGACCTGCCTCGGGGAAGAGCCGGGGTGGTGAAGGGGAACAAGCACGTTTGCTTCGGTGGTAACCCCTGAACTGAGCTCCACAGCCCGGCTCCTCCCCGGGGCCTTCCCACCCCCGTGCCCAGCTGCCAGCTGTGTCCACCCTGGGCCGTCCCCAGGCCCTGCCGCCAAGGGCTCCTGCCCAGTTGCTGCCCTCCACCCGTGCCTGCCCCTGAGGGATGAAAATGAAGGACGGGTCAGCACAAGGCAGGGTGCAGCGTCTGGCACACCTGGGGGGATGCGGGGGGGGGGCTCAGGCCTGGCAGGCTGACCCCTGGGGCCGGGAGGGCTGTGCCCTGCGGGGGTGGCAGTGGTGCCTCTCTGGGCGACCCCTGCTGGCCTCTGTCCGTGGGGTCACCAGCTTCTCTCTGTCCCTCAGAGGAAGAAGTCCCGGGAGCTGATGGGTCCGAGCAGCTTCGTGGATGAACTGGATGCACCAAACAATCGGAAGCGGGGGGTCTTCCTGAAGGCGCCTCGCTTCCCAGAGACGCCCCCCAAGAGACTCTACAGCTCCACCCCGAGCAAGCGGCCCCCCCAAAGTGGTCAGTGCTCTACATGGCCCTCCTTCCTGGGCGCCCCGTGGGGTGAGAGGGCGGCCGGAGATGGGGTCCAGGTTATTTCAGGTTGGGGTCCCCCACCCGGGGCTCCTTGCACTTGGGACCTCTTGTCCTGGGAGTGGGTGTAAAAAGGAAACGGGGTCCCAGCTAGCACCCCCAGCACTGAGCCTGACCCCGAAAGGACCCGGGCAGACCCCCTGCCTGCCCCTTGCCCTGAGACAGGGTCGGAGGGAGTTTGGGGCAGGACAGAGGTGCGTTAGGGACTATCACCTTTCTGGGGTCACGGGCAGTAGGTGGTGGCCTGAGTGGGCCCCAGGCTTTATCAGGACTCCCCCAAGTGGGCTCTGCCCACCCCCTGCCCCAGAGAGGCGTCAGGAAGGGGAGGGTGAGGAGGAGGAAAGGGGGCGCCAAGGCTTGCGGGGTGGGGGTCCAGATCTACTGCCCCCTGAGGGTGGGCTCTCATGCATTCTACAAGGGGCCTGGGCCCAAGGCGGAAAGGGGGTGACCCGGCTCTCCTGCAGAGGGGAGAATGGCGGGGTCACCCAGCCCACCTTGTCCTGGGTCTACGTGGTTCTGCTGAGCCCCTCTCTGGACCCTGCCAGCCCGAGGGGCCCCAGGGACCGGGAGGGAGGTGTCAGGCTGAGGGGGTTGGTGTGGTTCTGGGGGCTGGGGATCCCCTGCCTCCTGCAGCGTGGGCGCCTGGTGAGTGGCGCTGGAGGGGCACTGGTCGGGAGGGCAGCTGCCCAGTGCCAGGCCCTCTGCCCACGGCCGTCTTCCTTCCCTGCAGGCTGCGTCCAGGCCCAGCACATGGCATCCTCCTGAGTCCAAGAAGAAGGTCAACCACCCGCCCTTCCTGTTCGTCTCCCAGCGCCCGAAGGCCTCACAGACAATAATGGGAGCCTGGGTGAGTGGGAGGCCGTGGGGGGCTTGGTCACGGGCAGCTCCACGCCTGGCCAAGGAGCTCAGGCTGCCACCCCAGTCCACCTTTCCTGTATTGTGGACAGCAGCCGTCCCTCCTCCTGGCCCCTGGAGGGCTGGTGAGGCAAAGGGCAGGGCAAGGCCAGCGCAGGCCCCAGTGGGACCTGGCCCCAAAAGGCACGTTTGCACATTTCCATGTGCCTGCCTTGTTAGTCCATGTACCTGCTTGGTTAGCCCCACACCTGCTATTTTTTTTTTAAATGTAGGAGTACTGCTATTTATTCAGCCATTGATTAAGCTGATTGAGCTGGGCATGAAGTCCACATTACTTTTTTTTTTAAATTTTTAATAGTGAGACATCATGAGGTACAGTTGCAGACTTACAAATTTTTGTGTTTGGGTTTCAATTATACAAAGATCGAATACCCATCCCTCCACCGGTGCCCATTTCCCACCACCACGGATCCCAGTATCCCTCCCACCCCCCCATACCCTCCCCATCCCACCCTGCCTCTGTGGCAGGGCATTCCCTTTTGTTCTCTCTCTCTTATTGGGTGTTGTGGTTTGCAAAAGAGGCATCCACATTACTTTAAAAAAATTTTTTTAACTGGATATCCGTGAGATAGATCATTACAAAGCTGTTCATAACTGGGTTTCAGTCATACAATGATCTAGCACCCATCCCTTCACTAGTGTACATTTTCCACCACCAATGTTTTTCTAACCAGTGTCTTTCCACACCGCCCCCCCCCCCCCCAGTCCCCATCCCCTACCCCCAGCCTCCCTCTATGGGGGGCACTTTCCTTCTTTTTTTTGTATGTGTGTCACACCCGGTGATGCTCAGGGGTTACTCCTGGCGGTGCCCAGGGGACCATATGGGATGCTGGGAATTGAACCTGGGTCAGCCGCGTGCAAGGCAAACGCCCTACCCACTCCAGCCCATGGGCACTTTCCTTCTTGCTCTCTCTCTCTCCTTCTCCTTTTATGCATTATGGTTTGCAACACCCACACGCGCGCACGCCCACACACACACACACACACACACATACACACACCTGCATTATTAACCTCATACCCACTTTGCTAACCCCACACCTGCCTTGTTAACCCTGTACCTGCCTTGTTAACCCCATACCTGCCTTGTAAACCCCACACCTGCCTTGTTAACCCCAGGCACTTTTACGGTCAACCTCACACCTGCACTGTTAGCCTCGTGTTCCTCCCCCAGCACTGCTCTGCAGGTGGGCATGGTTCTTGTCCTGCCGTCTTGCTGTTCTCCTGGGCCCAGGACCTGGGGTGGGTGCCCTGGTGTGCCCTTCTCATGGCACCCCCTAAGGTGGAACAGCAGAAACTCACCTTCAGCCCAGGCCAGAGTTCTACTCTGCAGCCTGGGGACACGCTTTGAGGCCCCTCCTGGGCTCCATCCCGTCGCTCCTGCCTTCCTCTCCTGACCTGGAGTTCCTCTTAGACACGATCGGGGACTGGAGCGTTAGCACAGCGGGGAGGGCATTTGCCTTGCACACGGCTGACCTGGGTTTGATCCCCAGCATCCCATGGGGTCCCCCAAGCACCACTAGGAGTAATTCCTGAGTGCAGAGCCAGGAGTAACCCCTGAGCATCGCCAGGTGTGACCACCAAATCCTCCCCCCTCCCCCAAAAAATACATGATCTTCCCCACCTGGACTACTCACCCATCAATTCCATCTACAGCTACTCTGACGTCCCGGGGTCTGGGGTCTGGGAGAGGTTCTTTTTGGAAGGACACATTGAACCCTCAACCAACGGAATCGATCTCGCGATGTGGGGAGGCACGGGGTCTGCGGTGGCACGAGAGGAGGTGTGAAGCTCGGCTTGCCATGCCCTCTGTCCCGTGCAGAACCCGGTGGGTGTGGGCCGCTACCTCAACACCTGGCTGATGGAGACCAAGGACCACCGGCAGCGCTACCGCTCTCTGTACCTGAGCAAATGCCAGCGCTACCCCTCGGACCCGCTCTGGGACAAATTCCTGCAGTGAGTGTCGCGGGGCTGCGGGAGGGAGCGTCCAGCCTGGCTCTGCCATGACCGGGTTGTGTGAGGTGGGGTCAGTCAGGTCACCTCTTGGGGCCGTGCGACACACAGAGGGTGTGGGGGACGCATGAGATGCTTTTGGGTAAGAGGGGCCGGAGCAACAGCACAGCAGGGAGGGCACTTGCCTCGCACGCGGCGGACCTGGGATCGATTCCCAGCACCCCATATGATCCCTGAGCACAGAGCCAGGAGGAATCCCTGAACATTACTGGGTGTGGCCCCCACACCAATCAACCAACCAACCAACCAACCAACCAAAAAAGTTCCTGATAAGGAAAAGGACCCCTGAGATGCTGAATACACACACACACACACACACACACACACACACACACACACACCTGGGGGTGCCTGCTGTGAGCTCGCTGGTTCAGCTGACCCCAGATGCTGGTGCAAAGCCCAGGGAAGAACAGAGCAGATGGGTTCTTTCTCGCCACTCAGATAGGCTGTCCCATGGTCTCACAGCCATTTCAGAAATGTCAAGGCATACTAGAATCAGTCCTTCTGAGGTTGGACAGTCTGGCAAAGGCATGACCACCAGATGCCAGGGACTAGACTGCTCAGAGAAGACCAGCTTTTAAATCCCATTCGGATCAAAGTAAATCCTGTGTCTTCCTCCTACACCAATTTGGGGAACCTTAGAAAAGGTGGCCAGGGTGGGAGAGATAGCACAATGGACAGATAGGGCACTTGCCTGGCATGTGCTGGCCCGGGTGGAGCCCTCTTCACCCTTAGAGTGTGGGCGTACTCCTTCCAAGGGACCAGCTCCAGTTTCATTCTCTCTCTGTCTTTTTATTTTGTTTTTATTTTTATTTTTTTTGGGTCACACCCAGCGATGCACAGGGTTACTCCTGGCTCATGCACTCAGGAATTACTTCTGGTGGTGCTCGGGGGAGCATATGGGATGCTGGGAATCGAACCTAGGTCGGCTGCGTGCAAGGCAAGCACCCTACCCACTGTGCTATCGCTCCAGCCCCTCTCTCTGTCTTCTTAAAGGGAAAGGATCACGCCTTTCACCACGGGGATGTGCCTTCCCGCTGTGGATCACAGTTCAGAACCCGCATCTGACCCATGCAGCCCAAGCACGGCCACTGTGGTCGACACCAGATGCCCCCAAGGCCTGAAGACACATCTGGGGATGGGAGGGTAGGAGAGGGGTGGGCTGCGGGAGGATGATGAAGAAAAGACATGTGGAACTGCTCAAGAGAGGAGAGTGTGTGGCAAAGACCTCTGTCCTCACACCTGGGTAGGGTCAGCTGGGGGTTGTTCTCGCGAGGATCTGGTGACCTCACGTTGCGTCCAGATGGAGAGGAGAGCAAGGTAAGGGTGAAGGACGCGCTCGCGTTCGACTCTAGAGCCAAGGTGCTTGATTTCCTGTTCATTAAAATCCAGAAGGAGGAGACAAGAGCGCAGCATTGCCACAAGGCAGCTTCTGGAACATTCTACCTCCGTCCAGGGGAGCTGGGCAGGGCTGCATTCTCGGGGGGAGGCTGCTGACCTCCAGGCCAAGCGCAGCTGCTGGGACAACCAGCTCACCCCTGGGGCCAGGCTTGTGGGCCTCTGTTTCCCCTCCGTAGCCCCGAGATAGGTCTGGGGTTGGTCACCACGGCCTGAGCTTTTATTCACATTTTGTCCGGGACAAATGAGGTAGGATGGCAGGTTTATGTGCTTTCTAGAGCAAGGGACACCGAGCACCAGGGCTGCAGGCACAAAACCCACATGATGACACTCAATGCTTCAGATCCCGAGGGAAAGCAGTTACATCCACTCCTGTCAGGCAGCTCTAAAACTGTCTACTCACCGTTTATAGGTTGAAAGCCAAAGCAAACACACACACACACACACACAAAACCCTCAGGAAAACTTAGGACCCAAACTCTGTGCAAACTAGGTGAGCAACATTTTAGAAAATAAGGTGGATATGCCAAAAATCAATCACTTAATACTAGCAACCAGCTAGCAGAAATTTAAAATACTGTTTATAAGGCACCAAAATAAAAAGGTGATTATAAAAGATGTTTGAAATCTGTACACTAAAAGCTATTAAAAAACAAAAAACTATTGTGAGGGGCTGGAGTAGGAATGAGGAATGAGACAATGTCTCATTCCTACTTTGGACAAACTTGCAGGCTATCGAATGTAGCCTGCCCACAGGGCAGAGTCTGGCAAACTCCCCGTGGCGTACCAAGTATGCCAAATACCAGTAACAATGATGGGTCTCATTCTCCTAAAGAGCCTTGAATATAATCTCAGGGCTAGGATGAAAGAGACGTTACTGGGGCCTTCTCGAGGCAATCGACGAATAACAGGATGATGAAAAAAATGAAAAATGAGGGGCTGGAGTGATAGCACAGCAGGGATGGCACTTGCCTGGCATGCTGCTGACCCAGTTTTGATCTCCAGCATCCCATATGTAAATGCCCAGAGCACCGCCAGGATTCCTGAGCACAGAACCAGGAGTAACCCCTGATCATTGCCAACTGTGGCCCCCAAGTAAAAACCAAACAGAAAACAATTGGGAGAAGCGTAAGACCTCAATTAAAGGAGAGCTATTCCGTGCCCTGGTGAGCCTCCCCTCTGCTGTTGGCTCTCTCCATGTCCAGCCTGAGGGACAGTTTGGGTGCAGAGACAGACCATGTGATGGCCCAGCTCACTGTGGATGGCACTCACTCAGGGTGCTCACTCGTGGGTACTCTCTTACAGATTAAGAAAGGTTTGTATGCTCCTAGCTGGCTAAGAGATTTTACATGCTTTCATAGAGAATTAATGCCTCACTTATTTTTGGGTGTTTGTTACTAGGGAGTTGGGGTGTGTCCCCTTTCTGGACACGGATGTGTCCACCTTCCTGCAAGCCCTCCAGACCCCACACGACCAACTTTGATCACATGTTCCTCAAGGGCACACAATTAATTCCTAACTCCATCCCCGGAGGAAAGGTGGCTGAAAATCCAAGCTTTTGGATTTCAAGATCCTGTCTCCAGCCGCCACCTCCGTCTCCAGGACCCACTTCAAATTTTCTTGTTAAAACTAAAGGTGAGCTGGGGTGTGTCCCCTTTCTGGACACGGATGTGTCCACCTTCCTGCAAGCCCTCCAGACCCCACACGACCAACTTTGATCACATGTTCCTCAAGGGCACACAATTAATTCCTAACTCCATCCCCGGAGGAAAGGTGGCTGAAAATCCAAGCTTTTGGATTTCAAGATCCTGTCTCCAGCCGCCACCTCCGTCTCCAGGACCCACTTCAAATTTTCTTGTTAAAACTAAAGGTGAGCTGGGATGTGACTCAAGAGGTAGCACCAACAACTGGCACGAGTTCCAGACTGCCTGGAGTGATCCCCCAGCACCGGTAGGTAGAGGCCCCGCAGTACAAGAGCAGCAGCAAGCTAAAGACAGTCAGGAAATTCCAAAGATGCTCAAAGTGTCAGGAACCAAGTATACACCCTCCTTGGATTAAGGATTAAGGATGTTAGAAACCAGTACATTCATCATAACTGAAATAAACTGAAAAAGCCTGTAGGGGCCACCCACATAGAGAAGGTAGGGCATTTGCCTGGCATGCTGCTGCAGACCAGCCAAGAGTGATCCCTGAGTTAGGGAAAGCCCTGGCACCACCGGGTGTGACCCAAAGGCTTAAAATGAAAAATAAAAAAAAAACAGGAAATACATTTAATATACTGGACCAACCCTAAAGCAGACTCAATATACGTACTGGGCTACTATTGGGCAAGCTCATTTAGCACAAAGCCTATTTTCCAAACGAGTGTTGAATCACTCATGAAGTTTCCTGAATACTGAACTGAAAGCAGAAACCAGGTGCTTGCCTGGGCGGTAAGGCCCCAGGGCCTGAGGACTGTTGGCAGCTGAGGAGGGAGGTTGGGAGGGAGGCAGACTGCAGTGGCCGTCAGCTTTTCCGCTCTCCAGACGAGCCAGCTCAGGGCGTGTATGCTCATGACGGGGTGGTGCTGGGAAACTGGGACTGGCAACCATGGTCCGGCCGCTCACTCGCCTGGGTAAGGGTCTAAACCCCAAAGTTCAAAGCGTGATTTTTTACTGCACGTGTCCCAGTGTCGCTGTTGTAAGCGGACGGCTCCTAAGTCAAACTATTAGCAGAAAGGCACCATTTTTAGAATAGAAGGTGCTTCGGGGCGCACATCCAGCAGGGAGGGCGTTGGCCTTGGAAGCAGCTGACCAGGGTTCAATCCCTTATAGTCCTTTGGGCCCCTTCAGGAGTGATGTCTGAATGCAGAGCCAGGAATGAGCACTGAGCACTGTTGGGTGTGACCCCCGCCTCAAAAAAAAAATAGGGCACTCTGAGACAATAAGGGGAAAGGGGGTGGAGAGAAAAAGAGGGAGGAAGAGAGTGGACTTGAAAATGTCTGAAAACATTACTTGGAGCACTTTTTGGGGGGGCCACAGTGGCTGTACTCAGGGCTTACTCCTGGTTCTGCATTTAGGCATCACTCCTAGTTCTGGGTTCTGGACCACACTGGGGATTGAACCCCGGGTTGAATGTGTGCAAGATAAGCACCCTACCTGCTGTACTATCTGGCCCTCACAATGCCCTATTTAAAAAAAACAAAGCCTGAGCTGGGGAGACAGCACAGGGGTAAGATGTTTGCATTACACACGGCTGACATGAGTTACATCCTAGACACCATGGCGGGGAGTGAGTCCTAAGTGCAGAACTGGAAGGAGCCACTCAGGGTAAGGCCCAAATCGACACCCCAACCCTGAAAAAAAAAAAACAGTTACTGTGCCTGTTTCTTAGGGAACTCCAGGGAGGCAAGGTGGTGGTGGGGGGCATGCAGATATGATTCAGCCTTTGTAAAAATTATCTTAAAAAATTTGGGCCACACATGGCCGTTCTCCACATGCAGGAGTCGCTCCTGGCAGGCTTGGGGAACCACATGGGATGTCGGGGATCAAGCCAGGGTCAGCTGCGTGCACAGCAAGCACCTTCCCCGTTGAACTCTCTCAGGCCTCAACAGGATTCCTTGGGGATCCCTTGATTCCACAATATTCAACACTTTCTAGACTGCACACCAAATGACCACACACCGGTGGCCTAAACATTCATTTCTGTTCTGGAGCCTGGGAAGTCCAAGTTCACGGTGCTGGCGGGCCTGGCATCTGGAGAGAGCCCGCCTCAGTTTGCAGGTGGCTGTCCTGGTGGGAACCAGAGGCAGACCTCCATCTCCAGTATCTTGTTCTTGGGGTCACGTGCAAATGACAAAGCCAGGAATGAGGTCCTTATCTGTTTTGGTGTTAGGGTTGCTCGCAGCTGTGCTCAGGGATCACTCCTGGCTGGGCTTGGGGTGGGGGGACCATAGGTGTGCAAGATGACACCTCTTCTCTTCCTCTGGCCCCAGCCCTCGCTCTTGACTCTCATACATGGGGCTTTGAACATATCCCACACCTGACTCAATCACCCGGGTCAAGCACTGGGTTCTTGCTTCTCCCGTCTCCCCGCAGCCCTGGTCCACTTAGATTGGGGACACACCTTCACCGGATCACGCGATGGCCAGGCCAGACACCCCGCTCGCTGACCAGGATGCAAATGAAGGCAGGAAGGGTAGTGGCTGCACTGGAGGCCCGTCCCAAGTCACGCACACCCGAGGTCCCCGGGGACAAGCACTGACCAAGGCCGTGTCCAGTGTCCAGGTCACACTTTTATTTTACACAAGCAGCAGCCACACAGCCGCAGGGAGGTGAAGCGCTCCGGGGGCAGGCGCAGTGCCCAGCGGGGAGAGTGGGACTCGGGCCTTTTCCTCGGCCCCGAGTGGACAGGGAAAGGGATCACAGTGGCCAAGGCCGCCCCCAGGGCTGCTCCCACTGTGTCCTCCCGGAGAAGCTGGGGGCTCCTCAGGGGGCTGCACAATTGGTCCCCCAGGGCCGGGGACAGGATGGCGCAAAAAAGCTGTTTCTGGGCACGCCGAGGCTGGAGCCCAGGGGAGCTCCTGGGGGAGGCCCGGGCGGGCGGGCGGGTGGGGGGTGTAGGCAGGAGAGCCTGGCAGAGGCTGCTGGCACCTGGGGCCACCCTCTCCGCGGCTTGGGGTCGGAGCCTGGGTGCTGGGCCCTTCACTGGGACTAACCATTCCTCTGCAGAGCAGAATCATGAGGTCAGCCCCGAGCACGAAGCACAGGGCCCCGGGAACGCACCACATCCGACAGGAGCGAGTCCCTGAGGTTTCTTCTCACATCCCCCGGCCAGCCCTGCAGTCAGGGGCAACTGGCCAGGGTGCAGGCCCTGCCCGAGCGCCAGGCGTGAGGCCAGCCTGCAGGCCAGACTCGCGGCCTGGCAGGGTGGGCCTCTGGGAGGTTCTGGCCACAGGACTGGCAGCCCCCAACCTGGCAAAACCAGGGCCGGGGGATGCCCTGTGAAAGTACAGACAAGCTCCGAGGGGGTCACTGCGGCTGTCCCCGCTGTGATGAGGCTGCACGCCAGGGTCCGAGACAGCCGTGAGTCCCGGTTGGGAAAGGGCAGCTCGGGAGAGACTTCAGTCCCTGGGCAGCAGTGCAGGGGCCTCCTGACACCCGGGGCATGTGGAACGCCAGCTCTGCGCATGGGCAGCTCCCCCGCGGGTTCTGGGTGGTCCGGCTTTCACAGGCGGG